TAAATAGAACCTGATTTTTTTTAAAAAAAATTATATTGACTGTTTAAAATTAAGCAAATAAATGAATAAAATATTTTAAATGAATTGATTGATTAATTATTTTTTTGATGATGATGATGTATCCTGGCTCTTTAATAGACTCTTTTTTACTTGTACTACTGTTGTTGTTATCATCGTCGTCGCGTTATCTCTTTATTGTGGTCATCATTATCGCTGTCATCATCAGTGTTACTACTATTGGTAACATTTTTACCGTCACCGCCATTATTTTTAATAATTATTAAATTTTTGATATAAGATTATAAACTTTAAAATGTTTTAAAATCTTGAATATAATAAAGTTTCATTCTATATAAATATAGAAGGTATATAAGTTAGATATAAAAAAATTTAGTCAAGGGGAAAAACAACCTTTCAAAATTAAAAATTATGTCAAATCCTTTAAATATTTCTCTATAACTGATAATGTTTTATAGTATCCGGAATTGACAATCTAAATGTTAAACATAAATAATAATAATAATAATAATAATAATAATAATTAATTAATTAATTAATTAATTAATTAATTAAATGATAACTGATATATTTCAAAAAAAAATTATTAAAAATGATGTATATAGAAAGATTGAGCAGCACAGCAGGACATGTTTGCCTGGTTCAAGTTGTACTACCAAAGGAATTTATTATTATTAAAAAATCGAATAAAAATTATTGTCATCACCATCACCTTAGGTGTTCGTTCATATTACCACGCTTCTTCACTTTGACCAGCTGGTAATTTCACTAATAAGTCTAAATCATCTTTATGATTTTGTAATAAAGACTGTATATTCTTGTAATGTAAATGTGGAAATTGATAAGCGTCCTATATTTATATATATTCAATATGTTCAATATATATTTATTTATTTAAGTTTAGTTTCTGGACGATTACGACGTGAAATTGGTTTAAAAGTTGATTATGCTATTACTTCTGTGGGTAAAGTTGAGTTTTGATTAGAAATATTTCAGTCACTTTTATTATTATTATATAGCGAATGAATTGTTGATGTTGAAAAAAACATTAATTGCTGATCTGTGAATGAATCAGAGAGACCCTCAAATCTGTGTTTCCCACATAGAAAAGTCATTATTCATCACACGAACTATGATAATTTTTAGATAAAATTATTTATTTTTTGTAAAAGTTGACAATTGGCAATTTGAGACATTTTGCACCAAATGCAGATTTTTGATTCATTCACCGTATCACCAAATAATTTATGTCGATCTCGAATCATTAGAGGAGGAGAAAAAATATGATCAAACAAATAAAGTTGTGCTTGAAATAAATCATGATGATTTGTATGAAAAGTCATTAAATCGTTATTTTTTGATAAATTATCATTATTATCATAATCATCAAGAGATTGATCTAATCCATGTTGTTTAATATATAACTCTGTCAATTTTTCATCACTCCATTCTTCGCTCCATTCTTCATCTTCTTCTAATAAATCATTATTGATATTAATATTATCTTTATTTTTTGATGGAAAGAATTCATTTCTAAATAAATCAACAATTTCATTATGATTATTATTATTATGATTATTATTATTATTGCTGCTGCTGCTTATGTTGTTATCTTCTCCTACATGATGGTGATGATGATAAATTTGATGGCTCCATTCATTAAAAGTTTCATTAACACCATACTCTTCATAATTATTCATAGCCGTTGTACGAAAAGAAGAATTTACTAATGACGGAAATTTCCTTGATTCCTCCTGTTCGGTTGATGATGCTGCCAGTATTAGGCTTCTTTTAGATGTGGTGGCATCTTGAAAAAGCTTGTTTGAAAGTTGTGATATTGGGTTGTTGACGTTGGAATTTTCAAAAATACTATTACTATTATTATTGTTAGAACATAATAATGACATCGTGAGTTAAAATGTTATTCTTCCAAAATTAATTAAATTAAAAAAAAAATTGTATATATCTACATATTAATAATATCTAATGTTTATTTTTTAGATTTGATTGATTGTTGATGCCACAACATACAAAAAAAAAGGTAATTTCCTATTTTTATTTTAATTTGCACACAGTACTACCCTTAATAATATGTTGGGAAAATAATTTTAGGTGCTAAAATCGCTATGGTGCGAATCATCTAAAGACATCACGTGCTGCGCCACTTGCCGAAAATTTTTATGCTGATCTTGCTTTATAAAG